AAGAAAGAGAGACAGAAAGAGGAATCAAACGTTTCTAGAATATTCCAGGTGCCTTCAGTCGGGGCGCCTCCACTCTTAGGAGCTGTTTTTCACTTTTCTTTTTAAAACTCATGTTAGCTTTGATGGATAACAATGGTCATGAGAAGAGATGCAGGGACCAGGCCATCATACCACACTGGTGGATGTTCAGGGAAACAAGGGCATGATAGTCATGAGAAATGAGATCTGGGGCAGGAGCAGGATGGGTGCTAAAGGCTATAGGTGATCCATGGGAAAAATGTCCCAGACTCTGAAGCATATCTGCAAGAACGGAGAAAAAGTGAAAACTGTGAGGTTAAGGAAGAAGAACAAAGGCAGAAGACCATCTGGACAAGGGACTTAGGAGATCAATTGGGAAGAAAGCCAAGTGTCTGTGGGACAGGTGGTCTTTTTCTGTTTTGTTTTGTTTTGTTTTGTTTTGTTTTTGAGACAGCCTTGTCTGACCTTGCACTATAGACCTTGAACTTAGAGACTGGCCTGCCTCTACCTCCCAAGTGCTGGAATTTAAGGTGCTCACCACCACTACCCAAGCAGGAACAGGAGGTCTCCAAAGGGCCTAGACAGGGTCCAGATAACTTGGCATCTGAAAAAAACTCTAGTTACAGAATCCGGGTTCCTGTCTCTTGTGCTTTAACAAATGAAGCTTGCCTAATGTTCAAGTGCTGAGCTAGCCACTAGTTAGCCATAGAAGCCAAGCATTAGTGGCACACACCTTTAATCCTAGCACTCAGGATTAAGAGATAGACAGATCTCTGTGAGTCCAAGTTTAGCCAGGGATACACAAGATTGATTCACTCTAAAAGAGAAGCATCCAGGTGGCAGTTGCTCACTCCTTAAGTCCCAGTATTTGGGAGTCACACGCTTTTCATCCCAGCACTAGGGAGGTGGAGACGGGGGATTTGGGTGGGTAGAGAGGGGAATATAAGGAGTAGACAAGAGCTCATGGCATTCAGTCTGACCATTCCTAGGGACAGAATTGCACCTTTGGTCTGAGGATTCAGTAGAGGTAAGAACTAATGGTTGGCTGCTCTGTTTTTCTGATCTTTCAGTATTAACTCCTATATTCGACTTTGGGTATTTATTATTAAAACCAATTAGAATTTGAGCTTCAATTTAGGGTTATCAGGGAGAAATAACTCGGTAAATTACACATTTACCATCTGTCTCATTGTCTGAGTTTATTTATTGGTTGATCACTTTCCCTTTTACATAGCTGGCACAACTCTGGGTTTTTTACATCCCTATTATACTGAATCATACTCCCCCATCCTTAGTTTATTAATGATAACCACATTGAAATAAACATCTTTTCAAAATCCTTCCTATGTTCATTGAGATTTGGCCTGGTTGGAGGTCACATGAAAATAGTATTAAAATATTTTGCTTTTCAAATGAGGGAAGAAAGTTTTAATTCTGTGTGAGCCACTTTAGCATTTTTTTCTCCAAGGTTTTGACAGGACATATTGCAGACCTGAACAAGACCAGTGGATGCTTTGGCAGATAGAGGCGCTAGCCATCAATCCTGAGTTCAACCCTCAGAACTGGCATTATAGGACAGAAACAACTACCCAGGATTGTCTTATGACCATGTGGGTCCCTTGGCATGTTTTTCCACTGCCTTGCAAAGGATGTATTAGAATACAATCTTTCTTTCTTTCTTCCTTTATTTCTTTTTGTTTTTCAAGATAGGGTTTCTCTACAACAGTCCAGGTCATCTAGGAACTTGCTTTGTGACCAGGCTGGCCTCAAAGTCACTGAGATCCTCCTACATCTGCCTCTCAAGTTATGGGCTTACATGCATATGCCATCCTGGCCCAGCCTTAAGTACAATTCTTTTTTTTTAATAGCAAAGATCATTTATTTTATTTTTTATTAGTTTAATTTTAAACAGCTTGCTTCACATGTCAATCCCAGTTCCCTCTCCCTCCCCCCCTCCCCGCACCGCCCCCATAAGTGCCCCCAGACTCACATCCTATCCCCACTTCCTTCTACATAGGGGATATCTAGAGTCTGTCCTTTCACTCAGGGCAGGGTCCAGGCACTCCCCTAAGAGTCCAGGTTGAGAGAGCATCCCTCTTTGTCTTATGGACACACGAAGTCCTTTTGTATGCCAGGGATAAACATTGAACTACTGCCCAGGGCCCCATAGGTTGCCCAGGCCTCCTCACTGACTCTCACACTCAGGGGGTCTGGATCAGTCCCATGCTGGCCTCCCAGCTGTCGGTCTGGGGTCCAAGAGCTTCCCCCCTGTTCAGATCAGCTATCAGCTGTTTTTTCCAGTCCATTCTTTGCCAATCTGCTCATCGCTCCTCTGTCTCTGACACGGGGTTCCATGGGTTCAGGTTAGAGTTTAACTGTGGGTGTTTGCCTCTGCTTACATCAGTCACTGGATGAAGGTTCTAGGATGGCTATAGACATCAAGTTCATTATCAGGAATGGGCATCTAAGCTGGTCTCTCCACTATTGCTTAGCTTGCCAGTTGGTGTCATCCCTTTAGATCACTAGAGGTCTCACTGGTGCCAGATCTGTCTTCTAACCTATTACTCCCTCTTCACGCTATCCTACCCCCCACTCAACCTTCCTGTTCCCCCATAACCTACTCTCTCTTCCTCTTCTTCCCCTCTCTTCTTCCCAGCTCCCACTCCCCCCCCCCACCCCTCAACATGTTCCCAATCTGTTCAGAAGATCTTGCCTCATTCCTCTTCTCTGGTGTACCATGCATATCTCTCTTAGGTTCTTTCCTGTTTCCCATACCCTCTGTCAGTGGAAGTGCAGACTTGCACTATCCTGATCCGTGTCTAAAATCCATATATGAGTGAGTACATACCATGTTTGTCTTTTTGTAACTGGGTTACTTCACTCACGATGGTTTCTTCTAGTGCCATCCATTTACCTGCGAATTTCAAGATTCCATTGTTTTTTTTTTCTGCTGAGTAGTACTCCATTGTGTAAATGTACCACATTTTCTCTATCCACTCTTCAGTTGAGGGGTATCTAGGTGACTTCCAGGTTCTGGCTATTACAAATAATGCTGCTATGAACATAGTGGAGCAGAAGTCCTTGTTGTATGAATTTGAATTTTTGGATATATGCCTAAGTGTGGAATTGCTGGGTCTTGTGGTAGATTGATTCCCATTTTCCTGAGGAATCTCCATACTGATTTCCAATGTGGGTGTAGGAGTTGGCACTCCCACCAGCAGTGGAGGAGTGTTCCCCTCTCTCCACATCCTCTCCAGCATAAATTGTCTTCGATGATTTTGATTTTAGCCATTCTGAGAGGTATCACAAAGTTGTTTTGATTTGCATTTCCGTGATCGCTAAGGATGTTGAGAACTTTCGTAAGTGTCTCTTGGCCATTTTAGCCTCCTCTATTGAGAATTCTCTATTTAGTTCTGTACCCCACCTTTTAATTGAATCCTTTGGAGTTTTGGAGTCTTGCTTCTTGAGTTCTTTGTAAATTTTGGAGATCAGTCCACTGTCAGAAGTGGTGTTAGTAAATATCTTTTCCCATTCTGTGGACTACCTTTTTGTCTTGTTGACTGTGTCTTTTGCCTTACAGAAGCTTCTTAGTTTCTGGAGGTCCCATTTGTTAATTGTCGATATCAGTGTCTGTGATACTGGTGTTATGTTCAGGAAGCGGTCTCCTATACCAACTCTTTGAAGAGTATCTCCCACTTTCTATTCTAAGAGTTTCAGTGTGGTTGGATTTATGTTGAGGTCTTTGATCCATTTGGACTTACGTTTTGTGCAAGGTGATAGGCATGGATCTATCAGCAGGTTTCTGCATGCCAGTACCCAGTAATGCCAGCACCATTTGTTGAAGATGCTTTCTTTTATCCATTGTATAAAATCAAGTGTCCATAGGTGTGTGGGTTAAAATCAGGGTTTTCAATCCGGTTCCATTGGTCTACCTGTCTATTTTTATGCCAATATCAAGCTGTTTTCAGGACTATAGGCCTATAATAGAGCTTGAAGTCAGGTATGGTGATGTCTCCTGAAGTTCCTTTATTGTATACGGTTGTTTTGGCTGTCCTAGGCCTTTTGTTTTTCCATATAAAGTTGATTATCGTTCTTTCAATGTGTGTGAAGAATTGTGCCGGAATTTTGATAGGGTTTGCATTGAATCTGTTTACATTGAGAGATTTTCTAATATTGAAACATCCCAGCATTCCTGGGGTGAAACCTACTTGATAATGGTGGATAATTTTTCTGATGTGTTCTTGAATCTGATTTGCTAGTATTTTATTGAGTATTTTGCATCGATGATCATGAGGGAAATTGGTCTATAGTTCTCTTTCTTAGTTGTGTCTTTGTGTGGCTTGGGTACCAAGGTAATTTTAGCCTCACAAAAAGAGTTTGGTCGTGAACCTCCTGCTTCTATTGTGTGGACTACTTTGAGGAGTATTGGAATTAGCTCTTCTTTGAATTTCTGGTAGAATTCTGCACCGAAGCCATCTGGGCCTGGGCTTTTTTTGGTTGGGAGACTTTTGATGACGGCTTCTATTTCATTAAGGGTTATAGGTCTGTTTAGATTGTTTATATCTGTTCTTTATTTAGTTTTGGCAAGTGATATTTATCCAGGAAATTGTCCATTTACTTTTAATTTTCAAATTTTATGGAGTACATTTTTCCAAGTATGCCCTGATAATTCTCTGCATTTCCTCAGTGTCCATTGTTATGTCGCCCTTTTCATTTCTGATTTTGTTAATTAGCATGCTCTCTCTGTTTTTTTTGTTATTTTGGAAAGAGGTTTGTCTATTTTGTTGATTTTCTCAAAGAACCAACTCTTTGTTTCATTGATTCTTCTCAGTGTTTTCCTGGTTTCTACTTGATTGATTTCAGCCCTCAATTTGATTATTTCCTGGTGTCTGATCCTCCTGGGTGTGTATGCTTCTTTTTGTTCTAGAGTATTCAGCTGTGATATTAATTCTCTAATGTTCTCTACTTTCTTCATATGGGCACTTAGTGCTATGAACTTTCCTCTCAGTACTGCTTTCAGAGTGTCGCATAAGTTTGGGTATGTTGTGTCTTCATTCTCATTGAATTCCAGGAAGTCTTTAATTTGTTTTTTTATTTCTTCCTTTACCCAGGGATGGTGCAATTGTGCGTTGTTCAATTTCCATGAGTTTGTAGGGTTTCTGCAATTTGTGTTATTGTTGAATTCTAATTTTAATGCATGGTGGTCTGATAAGACACAGAGGGTTATTCCAAATTTTTATATCTGTGGAGGTTTGCTATGTTTCCTATTATGTGGTCAATTTTAAAGAAGGTTCCATGTGGTGCCAATGGTATATCCCTTTGTGTTTGGGTGGAATGTTCTATAGATGTCTGTTAAACCCAGTTGGGTCATAACTTCTATTAGTTCTTTTGTTTCTTTGTTAAGTTTCAGTACGGAGGTCCTGTCTAGAGGTGAGAGCAGAGTGGTGAAGTCTCCTACTTCTAGTGTGAGATTTTATATGCAATTTGAGCTTTAGTAATGTTTCTTTCATGAATGTGGATGCCTTTGTATTTGGGGCATAGAAGTTCAAAATTGAGACTTCATCTTGATGGACTTTTCCTCTGATGAATATGAAATGTCCTTCTTCATCTCTTTTGATTGATTTTAATATGAAGTCTAGTTTGTTAGATATTAGGATTGCTACACCTGCTTGTTTCTTGGGTCGGTTTGATTGGAAAATCTTTTCCCAACTCTTCACTCTGAGGTAACATCTGTCTTTGACATTGAGATGTGTTTCTTGTATGCAGCAGAAGGATGGGTTCTGTCTTCATTTCCATTCTGCTAGTCTGTGTCTTTATAGGCAAGTTGATACTGTTGACACTGAGGATATCAATGACCATTGATTGATGATTCTTGTTTGTGCTTGATTTATTGGTAGTGGAGTTATTGTGTGTAGGTTCTCCTCCCTTTCTCTTTTGGTGTTTGGTAAAGTGGGATGATCTATTGCCTGTGTCTTTTTGAGTGTAGTTATCTTCGTTGGGTCTAGTTTTTCTTCCAGCACTTTCTGTAGAGCTGGATTCATGGATATGTATTGCTTAAATCTGGCTTTGTCATGGAATATTTTGTTTTCTCCATCTATAGTAATTGGAAGCTTTGCTGGATATAGACCTTGAACTCAGAGATCTGCCTGCCTCTACCTTCCAAGTACTGGAATTAAAGATGTGTACCACTACTGCCAAAGCAGATACAAGAGGTCTCCAAAGCAAATCTGAGCCTAGGCAGGGTCCAGATAACTTGGGCATCTAAAAAACTGTAGGTAAGGAATTGGGTCCCTGTTTCTTGTGCCTTAACAATTACAGCTTGCCTGAAGTACAAGTGCTGAGCCATAGAGGTGAGGCAGTGGTGGCACACACCTTTAATCCTAAGGCTCAGGATTAAGAGATAGAAAGATCTCTCTGAGTCCAAGATCACCCAGAAATATACTTGATTGATTCGGTCTAAAGGAGAAACAGCCAAGTGTCAGTTGCTCACACCTTAAATCCTAGTATTTGGGAGTCACACGCCTTTAATCCCAGCACTAGGGAGTGGAGACAGGGGATTTGGGTGGATGGAGAGAGAAATATAAGGAGGAGACAAGAGCTCATGGCATTCAGTCTGAGGATTTGTAGGGACAGGATCACACCTTTTGTCTGAGGATTCAGTAGAGGTAAGAACTAATGGTTGGCTGCTCTGTTTCTCTGATTTTTCAGTATTAACTCCTATATCCAACTTCGGGTTTTTATTATTAAAACCAATTAGAATTTGTGCTTCCTCATTAGATCTCTAAAGGGTCTGAATGTTTGGTATCATGTTAAAAAAGTAATAGTTGTGTCTTATTTGGTTTTATATGCTTTGAAGTTGTTTTCAAATGAGATGTGGTTTTTTGTTTGTTTGTTTTGGTTTGTTTGGTTTTGGTTTTCGAGACGGGGTTTCTCAATGAAACAAGCTTGGCTGTCCTGGAATTCACTCTGCAGACCAGGCTTACCTTGATGTCACAGTGATCAACTTGCCTTTGCTTCCCAAGTGCTGGGATTAAAGATTTGTGCCACCATTGTCAAGTTTAATAAATACGATGTTTAAGCTGTTCATTCAAATCACTTTCTAGGCACTATTTTGCGGCATTAGTTTGTTGATCTCTAAGTACAGGGACTGTTAGTTTAATAGTGCAGAATCCCAGGCCTGAAGATGCGGAGCTCATGGGGGCTTCATGAAAGCCATTACTATCTTTAAGACTGGTAACTGGTCTGACTCTCCTCTCTGAGAGGAAATCATGGATTCCTCTGACCAGAAGTGAAAATAATGACTTACTAAGCAGACTTACTCATGTTTTATGGTTTACCAATTAAGAAACAAATGTCAAAATCCAGATATTGGAATCTGAAGACAGGTAACATCAGGCATAAATGACTGAAAAGAATAGGTGCTAGGGATTCTAAAAGGATTAGGTGCCTGTGAGTAATTAACCAATTGATTGCCTCCTTCACAGGAGATTCTTCAACATCTGAACTAACATTAATGCAATATTACCTAGGAGGAAATCTATGCATGGAGGGGCTCCGGGAATGGAAGATTTTGATTTGTACCCGTGCATTTCTATTTGTCTCTAGATAACTCCCAGGAAGATGTGATCTCAGTCACTGTGTGTGGAAGTATGAGAGATTCTTTGTATTCTCTCTGATTCCATCTTGTTAGTGTTCTTGTTTTGGTTGTTTTCAGTACCTAACCAGTGTGGATCTGAGCAGAAACAGCTCGGTGTCCCCTGGGAGACAAGTGTGTCTTTGCCACTAGAAGGAGGCTGGTCTTTGCTTAGAGGTCTACCAAGAGAATATGCTCATGTCTCTGCCTTCAGTTTTCTCTGTTTGCTGCCTTATGTATGTCATGACTAGAAGTGAGACTGATGACTGTATGTAGATAAGGGAACGGGAAAGAAGACAGTGTTTGGGAGGACATGAGTCCCTGGCAGAGAGGCCTGTGTGATTCCTAGTCAGAATGAAGACTTTCCCCATACAGTGTTATGAGAGTCACAGCCAAACAGAGTATCTTCTCATTGTCCTTCAGGTCAACACCATGGTGCATGATCAAGTATTCATTTCAGGCTTCATATTACTACTCCTCGGTAAGTGATTCAATGAACTGGGGAATGCTCAAGAGTCTAAAGTAGGGAGAATTGATGACAATCCATAAGACTTTTTGGTTACACATTATGTACTGAGCAAAGAATCAGAATAAATTGAAGCTCCAAAGAATTTTCTTGCTCCTATATGAATTTCAATATGTATGGATAAATAAACATGATTCCTAGAACATGCCAGGGAAGAGAAACCGCCCAAGATTTTTTAAAAGATATAAAAACAATATTTTAGAAAATATTGAGTCATAATTCCTCACTTCTCCCACCCCCCTTTTTATATAACAGATGTTGTGGAGTCTGCTGTAGTTGTGAAGGCAGCGGTGGGATACCCTCTCACACTGCCATGTAATTACTCAACAAATCTTGGAATCAGTAACACTTTCTGGGGCCTTGGCAAATGTCAATCTTTTTATTGTGCAAGAACACTCATCAGAACCAATAGATATCAAGTCACCTATCAGAGGAGGAGCAGATACCAGCTACAGGGGACTATTTCAGAAGGAAATGTGTCCTTGACAATACAAAATGTTGTTCGGAGTGACAGTGGTCACTATTGTTGTATAGTTCAAATTCCTGGATCTTTCAGTTATGTGACCTATTTGCTGGAAGTTAAACCAGGTAAGCGTTCTTTCTTTCCTTTGTTATTTCTTGCAAGTGAACGGAGTCCTCTGTTTGCTAATATTTTCTGAATTCCTCTAAGAAGGAAACTGAAGGTTGTTATAAATATGTTTGAGTATAGGTGGAGAGTTCCACTCCTTGTCTTCCCTGACATGTGCTTTTGGAATGGGTCTCACATCATGTCACACAGTTTGTTGCTTGAACAATGGAAATGTCGTGATACAATTGACTTCCCTCCACTACTGTTCACTTGTCACTCTGCATCATGATCACATGAGCAGTGGTTAGTCCATAGTCAGTCTGCTGTTTAATGACATGAGCAGTGAGTCCACAGTCACTATGCAGTGTGGTCACATGAGCAGCTAGTCCATCGTCACTCTGAAGTGTGGTTACATGAGCAGTGGTTTGTCCATAGTCACTCTGCAGTGTGATCTCATGATCACCAGTCTATAGGTAGAGTGAATTTAAAATCCTGGTCTTGTAGCCATGATCATATAGTGATAATATGGTGTTTAGTACTCTGCCAGAGCTGGGTCAATAGTTATTCTAATGCCTCCATGACTATTAAGATATGGAATTTCAGAATCTTAATATAACAATAGCATAATGAGAGAGAAATATCTGGGAACATGTTTCATCAGCATTTAAGCCATTTGTGGGAAAGTACCAGCACAAGCTTGTACAATCTGAGACTGTCACCTGATAATGCAAGAAAAAGTGACAAGGGAAAGATACCAGTGACAAATGGGAACAGGAGAAAGGGGGCTTGTGAGTTGGGCTGTGTCCCATGAGCAGGGATTAAGGGAGCACAGAGGCTAGCACTGCCCTTGACAGGTCATGTGGGCCTCTGTCCCAATACCCAACTCAGTATATCATATTTAACAAACATATGTTGCCACTTATTTAAATTCTTGTTGTTGAACATTTGGTTAAGACATACTTAGATATAAATCTCTAAGTTGCCTTTGTTAATCTGAATAGTGTTTTTTTTTTTTGTTTTTGAGACAGGGTTTCTCTGTCTAGTAGTGACTATCCTGGGAGTCACTCAGCTCACCAGGAAGGCCTCGAACTCAGAGATCCACCTGCAAGTGCCTCCCAGGTGCTGGGATTAAAGGCATGTGCCACCACCACCTGGCCTGAATAGATCTTTATAACCTGAAAATTTTAGCACCAATATGGAGTACATTTTATTTTATTTTATTTTATTGGCATACAGTTTTTCTTTGGCTTTGGAAGTTGTCCTGAGAATAGCTCTTGTAGACCAGAGTGCTCTCAATCTCATTGATATCTGCCTGCCTCTGGCTCCTGAGTGCTTGGGTTAAAGACATGTGCCACCAACTCCAGGCTATAGAATATATTTTAAAGCAGAGCTGCATGACATATATAGTATGTTGTAAGAATCTAACAATGTATTTTAATGTCATACAATATTTCATAACAATCCAAAATATTTGAGACTTGCTACTTTCTTAATCTAGGAGATACAATGACCTGAGAGCTCATTAGAACTTAAAAATTAATAGGGAAAATCAGTGGACACTGAGAAAAATGAAAACATCAAATGTCAACATATTACATTTTCTTCATTTTTTACTTCCTTCCTTGCTTCCTTACTTCCTTCTTTCCTCTTTTGTTTTTTCTTTCTACACAGGGTTTCTCTGTGTATCTTTGGCTGTCCTGGAACTTGCTCTACAGAAAAGGTTGGCCTTGAATTTACAAAGAACCACCAACCTCTGTCTCCAGAGTGCTGGGATTGAAGGAGTTTTCCACCAACACTAGGCTTTACATTGTCCTTATTGATAAAAGGTTATCTTTGCATTGACTAAAAAAGTAGACTCATGAAAATTTCCTGACTTCTGCTGCTTCTTCTAATCCTTTTACTAAAGGGTACACACGGACAACAGATATCAATAATGGAATTAATCTGTGTATAGTTTTAAATTAAGAACATTTTTTTGTAATCTCTCAGCCTCTAGACGTGGTTATTCATTCATTCACTTTTATGTTTAAATTGGTTTTAAAACCTAAATTAATATTCTGTGGCTATGTGTGAATGGTATGTATGTGGTGGGTATGTATACCAGGATAAATTCTTCAGAGGGCAAACTTGTGGGGTTGGTACTCTCTTTATATATATATATATATATATATATATATATATATATATATATATAGTGAGATCTAGGAATGTTAGTCAACTGTCCAGTCTTCCAAGTCAAGTGGCTCTACCTATTGAACCATTATTCTGTCTCCCAGTTTATTGACTGATTTATTGATTTTGAGACTTGGCCTTCTTTTGTAAGCCAGGCTGACCTGGAACTTCTTGCCCATGCCTTAACCCCCTAATCTTGGGATTGCAGGAATATGCAACCACACCTTTTTTACCTGGCTGAAGTTAAATAACTCTGGACTCCAAGGGTACTCACTAGAGAGAAAGAGAGAGAGGTCACTAAAAATACTTCTTAGGGGTTGTGATTTTTCTAGCATGCCTGAAGCCTTGGCTTCTGTCCCTAGAACTGCAAACACACTAATCAAGTAAAGCCTGTGGTGTAGCTTGGGAAGGCACTTGTCTATCACACATTCCTTCCTAAAACACTGGGATTAGATTTCCATCACCAGCATGGGGATAGGCATGGCATCATAGCATAAAATAACCAATTTCAATTCATTAATTGAAGGTTTTATGAGGCTAAAAATTCATTAACAGGTCAATGCTTACAGAGTGATATGTGATCCAGCAACTCTGATTCCTCCTTAACAACAAAGTAAACACACACTGCATGAAGGGATTACCCTGTATCCCACATAAAGAAGGGGTTTCAAAGCAATTTTTCCTTATTGTTGAGCTATTATTTTGTAGTTAGCAGAAGTAAAATTGAGTGAGATAACTTACATGGGTAATGTCTGCTGACACTGCGAGTATGCATCCTGGCACTAATTTGCCTTAAGACCTGTCTAGAAACATAGCATACTAAGTCCATCGGTACCTGCTTGGATGATTACAGTCCTTTGGATGCTGTTGATTTGTGAACTGTACATTGAACCTGCCTGAACCAAAAATCCTAACTCTTCAGAGAATAAAAATCTAGAACCTTTAAGCATGGACTTGGTAAAACACCTGGAAAAATTCAACACCATGAAATTTTCATGTGCAGGATTATCAAAGCTTTATAATGTTTCCATTAACATATGTACTTAAATTGCAGGCATATGAATGCTACATCAACCATGTTTGTAGTTGAGGATCTTTTATAAGACAAAATCTATGTGTAAATATTTTGAATTGTTAAAAGAATTTAAATTCTAATACCAAACATTTTTGTATATGGGGTATTCACCTTCTTTGTCTTTTAGAGAAATGCAATGTCCACTCTCTAACCAAATGTTCAAATCCGATTTATGTAGGGACTGGTGTGGGATCTGCATGCTAAGATGCAGGGCTATATGGTGTGTTCACTTCGGACTGACTGTAGTGCAAATGCAGGGACTGACAACTGTGGGTTAAGTCAGTAGCCAGTGAGAGCATTCACAGGTTCCCACACACTCCCAGTGTCACAGATGCTTAGACATTTGAGGACCTGACAGCTGTCATTTATACTGTCCTTAGGAACATGGGCTCTGTTCTCTTCTCCACGTCATCAGTGCAGCTGCCTCCTATTGGTGAGCTGTCCCCACGACCCGGCCCTGCCCTGCCCCGTAGTAGTTGCTCAGTAACAAAGGAGAGAAGTTCAGGAGAGGAGCACTCCGAGGACAGATTCTCACTGATGCTACAACTGAAGTTCTTTTCCCTTCTTATAGACTCATCCTTGTTTTATCTTGATTACCACATACAGAAATTCCAACAAGTCCTTCAACAAGTCCCACAACTACAAGAAGACCCACAACAACAGGAAGTCCAGCAACAGGAAAACACACAACAAGAATACTCAAAACAAGAATACTCACAGCTACAAAAAGGTCCACAACTACAGTGAATTCCACAAGTGTGTCAATGAGACCCACTCATGAACCAGCATCACCCAGAGTCTCCACCTTGACTCCTACAACACCAGTACATATGAAAACTTATACACCAGGTAAATCCCAATTCACTTCAGGACCCGGTGTCCCTCTTATCACTAGGCAGCATGCTTCATGCTTTATGATACAGAGTTCAATTCTCAGACAATTATGTCCTATATAGCTGTGATCTGTCCCTATTTTATAGGGACAGGAACTGACAGAATCAGAAAGTTCACGGTATAGTTATGAAGACAGAAAATGGCAAAGTCTCTGTCCCTATTACTGTGGGAACACCAGACCTTGAGCAGAGACCCACTTCCCCTTCTGCCTGGGAGTAGGCAGCTGTAAGACAATGTTTACTAAAAACATGTTTACTAAAAACAATACAATGCCCGGGGGCAATAAGTTCCTGGAAAAGGCCTGCCCACAGAAACCGCCCTGACCTCGACCTTGTCCAAAGACTAACCGCCTCTTCTGACACGCCCAGATCAGTTTTTGGTGTCAGGGCAGAACCAGCCAGGGTAGAGGAGAGAGCAGAAGCTTCTCTGGAGGGAGCCTTTCTTAGGAAGTTTTCTTGAAACTTCTTGGGGCCTGCTTAAAGTTTTCTTTACATCGTTGAACGAGTCTCTGTGTTGTCAATACCCGACACCCTCCGCACGTTCTCAGACACAGGCCGAGAAGCAGACGCCACATATTACCTTGAGTAGGAACCTGATTCTTCTGACTTCAGGGTCAGAACATCTGCCCTGAGCATGATGTGGAGAGGGTTTCTACTGTTCCCACATCCTCACTGGAAAGGCATCATGAAACCACCCTTTAAAAAGACAGTGACTGCTTATAAAGGTTTACTTTAAGGATCTTTTACCTTATTCAGGTAGTCTGCAAAGTGCAATATATATATATATATATATATATATATATATATATATATATATATACTTTGTAGGGATAAAATACACACACACACACACACACACACACACACATGAAATACAGAGGCTTTAGGAAGTGATATAACATGTTCATGCTTTTGAGTGATGCCTTGTAGTTCATACATCAAATTGTATACAGGTAAAGTTAATATTAATGGGTAGTACCTTGACTTACAGATAAGAGAAGCATGTCACCACGAAGGCAAGTTTAGATTCAAACCTTTCACAACTAGGAATGAAAAGATAGCTATTACAGTGTGTCTCAAAGCTTCCTAAAACTTGTATCCCTTGGTTAGGGCTTGATTCTGATGACAGAAGACTCATAACTTTTATTGTTGTTGTTAGGGTAATCTGATGGGTGATATTTATTTCTTTTGCCTCACCATGGCCTTTTGGTAATTTCAAGCAGGAGGACTGGGCTGCTCTGAAGGAGTGGGCTGCACGCCAAGTATGCAGAGGCCTCTAGGTTATAACTAGGGTTGTCAAGCATAGGATTTGGGAGAAAAAAACGCTTTGTTTCAGGTAGCCGCACATACTGAAGAAATGCAAGGATCTCTCAGGATTAACAGAATTTTTCAATCCTTAGTTTCAGCATGCTTCAGGGAATGGGCTCATGGGCTGAGGACCTGTAGTATTTGCCCTCATTGCATGGACACTTCGTGTACTTTGCCAGCTGCAATGTCTTTCATTTGCTAAACTTGGAAACATGGAGTCATGTGATGTCTGCTGCTTCACCTGTAAAATGCAGTGAACGGCTCCTTGTCAGGATGTCACAACCCTTATATATGTCTGATCAGCAGAAAGGGGATTCTTTTTTCACACATAGACAACAGAAAGTGAAAACAATAGACTCCTTGATATATAATAGGCATTTCAAATATACTTTGAATATCTAAATGTTCAAAACTTGCTGTTTAGTGAATCTCCTGCCTTATTAAATCCCACCCTTACATGGTATGACACATCATCTCTGTGGATGACTAATATAGATGTGGAAAAAGAATCTAAATTTGTATGTTTATAATTTTTCCTCTTGTTGAGCAGATTGGAATAACACTGTGACTTCCTGGAACGACTCTTGGAATAATTACACTGTAAGTATATTCCTCCCCAATCATCCATGCTCACTTGTATATCTTCTAGGAAGCAATGTGTACATAAAGATGTCTGTAAAATTAGTTCACAAGCATTTGCTTAAAAAAAGTCAGATATAGTAGTATCTTCCTTATTCTCCGGACTCAGGAAGTTAATACAAAATATCAGAAGTGTGAGGCCAGCCTGGACCATTAGGCAATGTGGACTATACAGTTACACGCTGTCTCAAAAAATGTAGATAGGTAAATTAGTAAATATTTAAGAATTTGAGTTTGGGGCTGGAGAGATGGCTCAGAGTTTAAGAGCACTGGATTCTCCTCCAGAGGTCATGACTTAGATCCCCAAAAACCACTTGGTGGTTCACAACCATCTAAAATAAGATCTGGTACACTCTTCTGGTATGCAGATAAACATGCAGTTAGAACACTATATGTACTGAATGAATTAAATCTTTTTTTAAAAAAAGGTGTTTGATGTTTACAAAAGGTATTTGAATTTAAGATATTCATTAACTTTCCCACTGACCATTCTCTGTAGAGCACACTGGTGATATTTTCTTTCACACACACAAACCACCACAGAAGGTGATTAAAGCAGACAAAGATTACATACATGATGTATGAGCCCATATTAAGAATGTGGTTACATTTTTGACGGAGGTAGCTGCCCATGCAGTCATCTCAAATAACACAGAACAGGTTTCCACCATGGTCAAACACACTGGTTTCACATTGACTTGGAGTTACACTGCCTTTATCACCTCAGATCCTTGCATCTTACTGCACATTTCAGACTAGCACAGGGCTGTAAAGATGAAGCTCTAGGACCTGGAGTCTAGGTTAATGTCAAGCATGTGCTCTCTGTTTCTCTCACTCGGTGACTCTTATGTTTACTGCTGTTTGTTTATTCCCTCTCCTGTTTTACTGTTTCCCTAGGAATCGATCCCTTCACTAAATCCATCAGAGAAAATGACTAAGGACTTGGCTCTTGGAATCCCCATTGCTGCCATGATTCTGGTGCTGGTTGTTGGTGCACGGGCTGTCATGGGTAAGTAATTTCTCATAACTGTCCCCCAAAAATGAGACCCAGTGTTCTCTGACTGACTTTAAGCAAGTGCACATGCCACGGGGGCTTTGAGTTCACATGCCTTCCCTTTCTCTAGATCCAAGACATGCATGGTAAGCCATCTGCTCCCCACCGGATGTGATAGCACCCACACAACTCTGTGGCTGGTTTCTAGTATTTGATGAGTGTTGTGCTCAGTGATCTTACACCATTGCCACTATGTCTGCAAATCTTCCTAATCTGTAAAACTCAAGGAGCTTAAATACTACTGGAGTTTTCAGCTGAAACCATTTATTTATTTATTTTTATATTTATGAATTTATTTATTTACTCATTTTACATCCGGACCCTGACTCTAGTTTCCCTTCCCTTATCTAGCCCATTCACTCTCCCTGCTGCCCATCTTACAATCTCCCTTTCAGTCCAATATATACTTCCTCTGTTTCTGTTCAGAAGGCCAGATTTCCTATGGATATCAACTAACGACAGCATAACATGCAGTGGGTTATTACCGTCTTCTGTTTTATTTTTTGTGCCTTAATTTTGTTTCGTTTTTAGTTTGAGTTTCAGTTTTTTTGCTGTGAGATCATGTAGTCTGGGCTGGCATTGCAATTACTAGGTAGCTGAGGATGACCTTCCTCAGGATCCTCCTGCCTCCAGCATCCAAGTGATGGGCTCACATGAATAGGCTGCTGTGTTTGGCAATACTGGTTTCCTAACCCTGTCCTTTGTCTTCTAGCTCTTTCCATTAAAGGGGAAACATTCCATTTTCCATAAAAAATTAAATACTATGACACAAGAGATTTTTGAATAGGCTTTACATTTTTAGGTCACTTTAGATTTCTGATGTGTTCTCTCCTACACTTGGGGTCTCACTTGTTCCCCAATATCACACTGTGGAATATTCTGGGATGAATTTAGTAGAAGATGCAAAAAGACATTTGAGGGAAACCACCTGAAAAATGCTGGAACAGACTATTTGTGGGTGATGCGCAGTCCTACATGGTCCTTCCCATGAATTGTACAACTGTACACAGGGTTTTTCTGTGTGTAGTGCATTCCCTGAGTAAGAACTTCAGTCATGGACATACAAAACATTAGGCATGAGCCCTTTACTGACCTGTTTCATTTGACTGGGCATAAATTGGGGAATAATGATATGCCTGTCTCTTGTCTCTGATTACACAAGACATTAGTCCTAGCAGAAACAGGAGGATCTCTGAGTTTGAGGTCAATCTTTCCTACATTGGAAATTCTATGCTAGCCAAAGCTAACCAAAGAAATCCTGTCTTGAAACACTTAAAAAATCAAGAATATTCCTGTGTAACTTCAGGATGTTTCTTACTGGCTACTTAGAACTTGTGTATCTGAAAAGATTATGTAAGCTGTCTCTAGTTTCACGTGCCTATTGTCACAACATTCCAAGTCTGTGGCTAGTTTCAATACATATAGATGGTGTCTAAAAGGGTGAATTACTATAAAGGTGACCATTTGTTCATTCAACATCTCCCCCCACCTGTCTTTCTGCAGGTTGTTAGCAGTTGGAGAACCTTGGTGAAGACAATGTCTACATAATTGAATGTAGTCCTTTCTCTGCATCATGAGTACCAGTGGCCCTCTGAGGGAAATTCCGCCTGAGACTGAAAAGACACCATCAGCATTGGACACCACAAACAACCATTACAAGTCCAGAATTATTTTCTGTGTCTACTCATCCAGCATTAGTGGAAAGGGTGACCTCCAGTATCATCCTATTTCTTGCATTACCACTGACTCATTCTCTCCATTCACTGCAGCGCATTCCCTCAAAATGAATGTTTTAGAATTCTGTGTGTCCTTTATGTAAATAAAGACATTTTTGATACAGTAAATACACTCCTGCCTTTGTTATTGAAACCATTAAGAGAAGAATACGACTAAAAATTTAAAAAAAAAGACTGAGGGTGGGTGGGATGGGCACCAGAATTTAGAAATATTTCTCAAACTTTTCATGTTTATCTATTTTTGTGTAATTTGAAATGTCACTATCCCTTCCCTCCACAAGTGGTACAACCATGGAAACAAGCAGGTGTAAATTTCCCTCATAGATAAATAGAAGGGCATCTAATGTCCTTATAAGAATTGGCCATGCTTTCTCAGATCTCTGGAAATATGACACACTATTATGTGGTTAATCTTAGAATAAGGATGGGCGTTTCAATCAATAGTGGTTTCCATGGTGAATATGGCACAGTCCTACATTCGGGGAAGAAAATAGTGTCGAGGTCAAGCAAGTAGCAAAAGGGAAACTAAAACAAACTTCGAAAGGACTCTGTGTGGTGATTCTCTTCACTCCTATGGTTGCAAGGTTGTCCTCAGAACCAATAATGTCTCTTTACAACACGGAGAGTCCACAATTAGACTCATGCACTAAGACCAGTGAGGAATACAAAAGGACCCCAGACCTTAGAAGACACTGAGATCTTAGTACAACTGACTCCATTATGGAAGTGCTATTCAGGTTGTAAATCTCACCACAGAGACAATAGCACCTGTGAAAACTAAATCAAAGGCCAATACATAAAAATCCATGTAGTTCTGGGAAAGTCTCTAAATGTACTAACCTTGCATTTTAACTTCTGTAGTTCTACTTCTGGCTAAAGATTCATGTTAACTGAAGTATATGTCAACCCACAGCATAGTTTTGCGCTTAAAAACTCAAACTGATATAAGGGTCTATGCTGCACTGGGATCCTGAGCACCCAGTGTAGTCACAGACCAGATAATACTGACTTTCTACTGACTTAAACATATGTCTGAGCAGTCTTCTCTGGTGAATACCCCTCATCAATGTCTAGCACAAGTACCCAACACTGGAAGCCTGCATAGGCCAAATATTACCCCTCAACGGGAAGTCATGGCATGGAGAAGCTTAGCTGTGGGTGCTGGTAGCCTCCTTGCCTACACTTCTGCAGGCAGACACTGTAATCTAACTTCATTTGCTTAGACTCTTCCTCTATTAACATAGACCCTAAATGAACATGTGTTAGGACGACCATAGTTGTTGGTATACCAGTGATTGTATTAGTCAGCTTTCACTTGTGCCTCTGCACCAGGAACCTCCCTGGGCTTCACCTGTAGTCTATGGCTATGTGTGCCTCTCAGTTGATTCTTCTGCAGGATGAGAAAGCTGGTTCAGGCATTAAAAATCCCATAATACTGGAAACACATTAAAGTCAACATGATCTCCTGGTCTGGCATCTGAACTCAAGTGAAGATCTGTGCTGAGGCTATAGAGACACCACAGAAGAAATTTCATTCTTGCTATTGTCTTTGTTTGTTTAGTTGGTTGGTTGGTTTAGAGAAAGGGTCATCCTATATAGACCAGGCTGACCCTTGAAATCACAAGATCAACCTTCCTTTGCTTCCTGAGTGCTTTTTAACTATTTTTTTGACGTCTCCTTAAGTGGGTGAATAGATACTATCTGGAAAATGATTGTAGAACCAGACATACTCAGTTTTCCAACAAAATACTTGAATGTGCAACTAGGAGGTAAGGATGGAATTCTGGGAGAAACTAATCTGAATCAATGGGCATCTCTGGAAGTCCAGCAGCAGCAGAGGAGTAGAAGGAGAGACAGTAACAGGAAGCTGGGGCTCTCCTACCTAACTGGTGAGTACAGTCTTCTGCAGACTCGTGCTGGAGGGAAGCAATCAGGATAGTGCTCCTTGGGAGTTTCTGTACCTTATGAGATGACATTTGGGATGATGAATTATTTTGTACAAGACAGTAGGACAATGCAGCTTGAGTCTCCAGGCTTTAGGGAAACTTAGAAACCAAAGGAGTTCTTTGGATTCTTGGAAGGTGGATCTCTTTTTAATGGAATAATGGACTTCCATAGATGAGCTATTAAAGCCTTCTACTTTTTTTCAGTTTTTTTGAGACAGGTTTTCTCTGTGTAGCTTTGGAGCCAATCCTTGATCTTGCTCTTTAGACATCACAAAGAACTCCCTGCAAGACATCAGGAACCTTCATAGGATGCCAAGGTTGACCCTAAACTGTAGGGACTTGGGTAGAGTGCAAAGCTCCAGTTATTAAAGCAAAATCCCATCATCCCTGAGTAGGCTCAGGGGATCAAAGTGCATGGCCAACCTGACACCCGAGTTTGATCATGGAAACCTAAGACTGGCGGAAGAAAGAAACAGCTTCTGAGAGTTATCTTCTATTCACATGAGTTCCATGGCATGCACAAATTCACAAACAGAAGTAGTTAAATACAAGAATAATAAATAAAATAATTAAGAAATTCTACTGGGTTACATCCTCTTCAAATGTTATGGTGCCCTGCTTGTCTTGTGGAAGCCAATGGGACAGTGTGGGGAAATTGAATACTAAGGATTTGTGGTTATTTAATGCCTCAGTTCCTCAGCTCCCATCTTCATCATTTCCTTAATTCTGGCAACCTCTGCCCTTCACCTGTCTTCCTTAAGATCTTATCCTCTCCTCTCACTTGTTTTGGTTTTGCTTCTTTATATTTTTTCCTTTTTTGTAGCCCAGGCTAGGACATCATCCCCAATCTACCTGTCTCTGCCTCTTGATGCTGAGATTACAGAACTATGACACCAGACTTGGCTTATGTGTTGCTTTTTCTTTTATTGAAGGATTTTTATTCGATAGCTTTGTCTAGATAAATGTTTTATTTTTGTTTGGTTCATTTGTTTACTGAAAAAGGGTTTCTCTGTGTAACAGCCCTGGCTTTCCTGGAACTCTATCTGGAGACCATGCTGGCCTGGAACTCACAGAGATCTGCCTGCCACTGCCTACCAAGTGCTGGGATTAAAGGTGTGAGCCAACTTTATGTCCACTAGGCTGCACTAAACTCATTGCAAGCCTCATGCCTCAGTCCAGTGAGTAATGGATCATAGATAGGAGCCATCACTCCTGACTCTTACATATCAATTTCTTAAAGAGATTGTGTCCTGTTTCCTCTCCTTGTTAATCCTGAGTGAGGGAGTCATCTCTTTTGATATTCTTAACTTTCCATTTGTTCATCTCTTCTATCCACAATTAAATTACCTCAAAGAAATATATAAGCCATAGTTGGATTCCAACAAAGTCTACTTCACTGGAGACTTGAGAGATGACTCAACAGTTGAGAGGATGTATGTTCAGTTCCCAGCATCCACCCCAGGGGTCTTAGAACTTCCTGTAATATCAATTCTAGGGATTTTGATGTCCCTGGGCTCAGCAGGCACCTGCACTCAAGTACACGTGAGCCACACATAGAAATATATAATTTAAGAAATGATAAAAGCAAATCTTTAAAAATTTACTCAATAGAGCTGGAGAGGTGGCTCAGAGGTTAACACTGTTGTATCCTCTTCTAGAGTTTGTGAGTTCAATTCCCAGCAACCACCTGGTGGCTCACACCAATCTCTAAGGAGATCTGGTGCCCTCTACTGGCCTGCAGGGATTCATGTAGACAGAAAACTGTGCCCACAATAAACAAATAAATCTTTAAAACTATTTATTCCATATAGCTGGGTGTGGTGCACATCACTTTAATGCCAGTACTTGGGAGGCAAAGGAAACACATATCTTTGAGTTTTAGGCCATTTTCCTGGTCAACAGAGTAAGTAACAGGACACTCAGGGATACATATGAAACCGTGTCTCAAAAAGACATCTTTTGTTTTTGTTTTTATTTTTGTTGTACTCACTTGTACTAGTCAAATTTCAATAGCTAATTCAGTCCCTGGTCATTGCAGTATTGCCCAAAGATCATCCATAATGACACCCGCATCAGAAAGGGTTTTTTTATTTTTTAATTTTTATTTTATTTTTAATATTGAAGAACCCCCTCAGCCCCGTCCCCAGGCAACAGTTGGAAAATTTTAAGCTGTCCCATCCTCAGACATGAGCAGCTGCACTTAAAGATAAACAGCCTCCCCTAGTGGTCATCAAGGACATGAAAATATTTCCTAGGCCTCAGTCTTGAAGGACTTGGGAACATTCCCCAGAACTCAAGGTTCCGGGCCTGTCACAAACTTCAGACAGAGCACAGACTTTGCCTAAGACACATAATGAGCCAGTCAGCCAGACAGCCACAAGCATGGGTGTTTTCATGAAGGTTGGCACCGATTACCAATCTCCCCTTGTACCACCACCACCCTATTTGTGGTTTCAGGCTTCAAAAACTCACTGTAATTTCTGCTCCGGGTTCACTCCTTCCAAAGGCTGCTGGGAACCCCGGAACACTGGCTTAATAAAAATCTTATTGCATTTTGCAACGAACTTCGGCTCCCTGGTGGTCTTTGGGGTGAGTGTCCTGAGAGAAAGACTGAAGGGTCTTTCATTTTGGGTGCTTGCCCGGGATTTTCTTGTGCCCCTAGACCTCGGGACACCGGGGATCAGAGGAACCTCTGAAGCACTCCACACCTTCAATTCTTCTCTCTGCTTTTACTTTTGGTTAGGGGTGTCTCTGTCTGTCTTTTCATTTCTGTCTACGAATTCTGAAGTCAGTATACCCAAGTGGTGTGAGGAAATCAGTATCCCCATGTGGTGAAGGGAAATCAGTATAAGCCCTGGGGGAGGCCCCGTGAAATTTACAGAGGGGACAGTCCTACCCCACTAATCTGTGTCAGTTGCTTGGCCATCAGATTTGTTTTCTGTGTTACTGTGCACTCACCATGGCCATTGTGTGCTGTTTTTGTTTGTCCTTGTCTGTACATTGTTTGTGAGTCTCTGTATTTCTTTGACCCCCTGACTGGTAATATGGGTCGCTGACTGACTCATTGGAAGGATGTAAAACAGAGAGTCTGGGACTGTAGTTAAAAATGTTGGGAAAATTTTTTTTCTTTTAAGAAAACTGGCAGCCAAGGATGCTATGCCCAGCGCTGCTTCCCTCCTCCCTTCACTCCTAAGCCTAATTCTTCACTGTGGTAACAGCCAAGGTCTCTTCTGCTGGCCAGCAGCTGTCCACCTTAGTCCTTCTCTGTCCTGACTCTGCTTGGAAAACAAAAATGTTAAATTATACCAGTTTATATACTGTGGAAATTTGACTTTGAAATAAAAGGCAAAGATACATTATGTTTGGGGAAAAATTATGGTTTTGTTTCCAAAGAAAAAAATATAATTTTAGTCATTTAAATCTAATGGGTTATGTTTATTGTCACTATTTAAGATGTGTCACCCTTTTACAGGGGTTTATTAAGTTGATACAAGTTTATAGTTATTAAAACTGCAATAAGGATTTTGGTAAGAGATTTTATGTTGACTTAGAAATGAGAAAAAAGGTAGGAGACTAAAGTAACAAATAAAAAGCAGAAAAATATTGTCTACTAGAGGTAACATAAAAAGCCATAGAGGTAATATAGAAAGTCGTCAAAGGTCAGATGAAAGTCATTGAAGGTCAGAGGAAGAGTTGTCAAAGGTTAGATGGAAATGTGAACTATGTTTGCTATGGTTTCTCATTCTTACAAATACTTAATTTTAAAAATTGGTAATATAAGTTAAAAATTTAACCATATTAGGTTAATTCAGGTTAAAAGGATTGTCTGTTACTCACGAAAATTTGATAGGTTAGTCAAAAGCTTTTGTCAATGTTTTCTGGTGTACACCTCTATACACAAGAATGCTAAACTTTGTAATTTCATAGTCACCTAGGTGATAATGGTTTTAAAGGCAGAAATGGTATTTTATATTTGATATTATGAAAAGACATTGAGAGACTTTAAATTAAATTTATAAGACTATGGAATAGTTGTGCTCAAAAGATGTTTTTATTGTTAATATTGTACTTAAATTTAAAAGCTAACTTTTAAGATCATAGCTATAAGCAGTATATGCCAACTGAAAACTGGGATGTTTATGTCTTGAGATACATTAGGACAATGACCTAAATCTAAAAAAAGAGCTTGGAGTAGCTTCTAAGCCCATGAGTCTCAATCCTTTGGGGTTAAAAAAAACTTTTCATAAAGGTAGCCTAGGACCGCCTAAATGTCAGATGTTTGCATTGGTAATAACAGGAAAATTTTGTAGTAAAGAAATCACCACAACATGGGAAACTCCTTTCAAAGGTCAAAACATTAAGATTTTAAAAAGCTAACCCTGACAATGAAAAGTCCTAGTCTTATAAAAGCTGCTAATTGTATTATAAAATGTTAAAAATACAAGTTAATAGCCACCCTTATAAATGACTAAGTTTGTTGATTTTAATCATGTTAAATATTAATATGATTAATTACAGGCATAAATCTTACTTAGTCCCCTGAATATGTTTTCAAAATTTAGCTGAAAACAAGTAACTGAAAACAAAGTTGTCTTTTCAGATTTAACTAGGCAACCTTCTAATACTTAAGAGATTTGTAGAATATGGCATTTTATGTTAATTTCAAAGCTTATAATATCAGACAGAGACTCCCAGATCCTGGCAGTGACCCAAGGTCTCCAAAGAAAATTATGGGCACACCGGTTCTGACACTGACCGGGGGCAAGATGCCCCAATGCAACACCTGCTGCCAGGACCCGGCCCAGACTGTGGACAAGCTATGCGACAATGGATAATTGAGTGTACCACTTTTGCCTAGACAAAATAAGGTCAGTCTTTTCCATGTCTCCCTTCCACAGAGAGGAAAAAAAACCTCTCACCTTATGGTCTTGTCAAAGATTGATGCTGTTCTTTGATACTTCTGCCTCCAACACTATGGAGACTTTGGTATGGCTAACTGCATATGGACTGGTCCCTGTCATTTGTATTAGATTCAAAAGTTAAATAGCATTTATCCTTCTCAGATCTCTGATAGTATTGATGGTTGGGCTAGCTATAACTTTGTTAGCTTGGCAAGCATCAGGCAGCCAGATCCTGCCATAAGGTTATGCCCGGCTTGGTAGTTCATTTTATATATTAAGACCAAGGTTTGATATAGTTCCTAAAAATAACCCAAGGATGTAAGCACATTTAAGTTTCAAGGATATAAAAATAATTTTAAACACTTTTCCCCTTCTATGATATAAAAGTTTAGAGCTTAACATTAAATAAAGTTCTGATAAGCTGATAAAGCAGTGACTACCTGCTGTTCAGTCATAAGCTCAAGAATTTTGATTTATTTTGGTTGTCATCTAAGTATAAACCTACAGGACTTCTATTCAGGCCAAATGTATCTCTGTCCAGTCTATAAATGGCTATCTCTGGACAGAAGAAAAATGTCCAAAACTGTAGGTTTTGTTGAGAGTTAAATGAGTCTATTACACATACCCAATATCTGCTTGTTCTGAAATGGGGATTTCAATACAGATTGGTAAAGCTAATATATCTAAAATTTTATGCTCTCTTGTTAAGTAAAGTTCATATAGGCTTCAGAGGATCAAAAGGTCATAAAGCTTGGATACACTTCACACAGGTCTAAAGGACTCCAGATAAGTTTCCCACCTGTCTGTTCCTGAAGATGGAATTTTCTCTCCTGGTCTTGGGACTCCTGCCCTTCCTCACCACTAAACCTATGGGTCTAAGAGTTCTGATAGAGCACATAAATTTTAACTTCTGTTCCTAGTTTAAACATGTCTCAACAGGTTTACCTTCTGCATCTCCAGGAATAGTGGTTGTGAGCCTCCCAAAGCAGGTGCTGGGAAACCCCGCCCAGGTTTTATATAAAAGCAGTGGACATTCTTATCTATGAGTCATCGTAGCAGCCTAACATTAATGTTTAGCTAGAATAGTATTTGTTCATACTCCCTCAGGCTCAATCTATTAGTAGTTACAGTGGAACTAAAATGAAAAATTTCAAAACCCTGATCTTGGCCTATATGGGACAATGGGCTTAGACACAACACATCCATTCTTCCCAGGCCATCTTGCTAATAATGAACTTGATTGAGGCTTAGGAACCAACCTCTCCAGTTACTTCCAGGAGCAGCCTGATCACCAGAGGGCAAGTAGACAGCCATTAGAAGGTTGGTTCTTGCTTAGGGTTCTACAAAGGAATTGCACTCTTGTCTCTGCCTTCAAATTTTCTCTGTTTACCATCTTATTTGTGCCAAGAACAGGTGCGAGGCTGATGGCTATATGTGGGGAAGGACCAGGAAGAGGAGGCTGTTTGGAAAGACATGGGTCCCTAACAGAGAGTCCTATATGATTCATGCATTCAGAACTTCTCAGATACAGTGCGGATAGTGGCTGCCAACCATAGTGTCTTGTCATTGTCCTTCAGGTCACCATCATGATGCATCCTCAAGTCCTCCTATCAGGCCTTTTACTCCTTCTCCCAGGTAAGTGAGAGGTGAGCTGGGGACGGCTAGGAGGATGGAGGTTCAGATGAAACATTCCCTGGGGTCTATATTACAGGTTACGTAGTAAGCAATGAACCTGGATGAAATTGTAGCTCCAAAGACATTTCTTAACCTACAAGAATTTCAAAATTTATGCCTAAAAAGTCAGACCCGCAAGACTACTACATGTTACATTCAAGTAAGTGTGGATACAGTGCATGCATGTTGTAGGCAATGCATGAGGGCTGAAGACAGGACACGGAAGGGCAACCTAATCTTCATTTGGCCCATATGCTGTATAAAAAGAACACTCCTTTTCAATTATTTTATTAAAAACAATAATAGAAAAAATTCTATGTTAGTGAATAGCATATCAATTTTTTGAGGCAAGGTGTAAGGCAGCCTAAGCTGCCCCACCCACACAATGGACAACTGGGAATGACCTCAATGCTTCCCAAGAGCTAAGATTATAGAGGTGTGCCCCTACACATGCTATATATTCTAAATTTTATAATCTAATCTCTAGGAAGTGCGATTGTGGAAGGTCATTAATTCTTATCAGACATTTCTATAACTTTACTATAAATTTTTTTATCCTAAAAAATTAATAAGCAAAATCAAGTGACAGGTGTCCCAAGGAGAATCACATACCTGTTACATACTCATTTTCTAAAACAAGGAACATGGTTTCTCATACCATGTCCCATACACATGGCCTAGGCTTAAAGACAAGTGTTAGTTAGTTCACTCACTGTTTCGTGCTGTTTGCTTATCTGTTTGTTCCTGTGCTTGGATCCAACCTAGAGGCTGGCATGGGAAGGTGAGCATGGTACCCGAGAGCTGCATCTTCAACTCTCAGATCTTCCTTACATGGAAGCAATTTGTATCTCAACAGAGGTATAGTAAAATCATTACTTTAGGTTTAAAAGTTGCAAGGTTTAGTTCTTGATTTAACATTCTGATTTTGTGGTTGCACTTTATAAGCGAGCATTGTTCAGTTTCTGGAATGTTAACATATAAGCATGGATCCTTGTTCAGGTTTGCATTTTTTTTTAATTTTTAAAGAATTGATCATAAGGCCGCATTCTTCCTGATGTTATTGCAAAACTGATTGTGAGCTTGCCCTGATGGTGCACAGCTTTAATCCCTGCACTGGGGAGGTAGAGGCAGGCAGATCTCCATGAATTCAGGCAGTCAGAGTTCTAAATACTGAAGCTAGGCAAGGGTTACATAGCAAGACCTTGTCTCAAAAAAAAAAAAAAAACCGAAAAGCATATGTGCAAACAAAAGGAACTGGAATTCTGAAAATTATGTTGAAGTTAGTAAAGCTCTGCCTTTACACCAACAATGCTGCAAACAAGACCTAGTCTTTGTATAGGAGAGGTGAGTAAAGTTAGTGGTTTCATTTTCAGCAGCATTGAGGGGAGTTAAGGTCGGTTTGAGGCAGGGTCTCATGAGCCCAGGCTGGTTGTGAATTCCCTAGTTTCCTGACTTCACCTTCGACTTCTAGCTTGGCAGGCACCCATCATCATGCACAACTTCTGGGAGAGCAGCTTTAAAATTTTAAGACTTAGAGCTAATGTCAGCGGTACATGTTTGAAGTCCCATTTCTCAGGATTCTGAGTAAGTATGAGCCAGCCTGAGACACAGAGCAAGATCCTGTCTAACACAAGCCAACAGGTCAGGCGTGGTGGTGTGTGCCTTTAATGCAGGCAGTCAGAAGGCAGAGTTAAAGGTGGATCTCCATGGCTTTCAGGCTAGCCTAGTCTACATAGAGAGTTCTAGGCCTGTGATAACTATCTAGTGGTCTCTGCCTCCAAAAGAAAGGAAGGAAGAAAGAAAGAAAGAAAGAAACATGAAGGAAAGAAGGAAGAAAGGAAAGAGAGAAACAAAGGGAAATAAATAAATACAAAAGAATTCAAAAGATCCAGTGTGAATATAATACAGTGTGGTAAGTTGCTTTATCCACATGCATAGCCATTATATAATCACTTGGAAGAACAAGCTAACAGAAAATTGTTTATAGTGAAAATGTTAAGCTATGGAAACTCTGCAAAGAAAAATGCAAAGAAGGCCTGGGGCATAATGGTGGAACACATGTCTCCTGTGCCCTATGTCCCGGGGTCAGGCCTCAGTTGAGCCAAAAGGAAAAATGGGAAAGAAAGGAAGAAGTAAAATCAATTGTAGGCAAATGATGAGTACTCATTCTCCAATTCCACTTTCTTTTTTTTTTTTTTAATCACAGCTGCTGTGCATTGTTTCCCAGAAGTGCGCGGAGTGGTGGGTCACCCTGTGAAACTGCCATGTACTTATCCAGTCTCTAATGGGATCTCATCCATGTGTTGGGGCCGAGGGGAATGCGGGGATACATGTGGACAAACACTTATCTGGGCTGATGGACACAAGATCTACTATCAGACAAACAATCGCTACCAGTTGAAGGGACAGCTTCTTGGAGGGGATGTGTCCTTGACAATAGAGAATACCACTGAGAGTGACAGTGGTCTCTACTGCTGTCGAGTGGAAATGAAGGGCCCGAATGGTGTACAGAGACTGACCGTCTCATTGCAAGTTCAGCCAGGTAAGCCGGCCTTGTTGCTTTATGTCTTGCAAGTGAACTGCGTCTCTGTTTGTTAGCTATTTGTTCTTTTCCTAGAACACGGAAATGAAGGTTCTGAAAACCATGCTTGTGGTTAAACACTTGCTTTTTAGTAATTTCTAAATGGCACAATCTCATGTATCTCAGGTTGTCCTTTAATGACCATGTCCCCACCACCGCCCCACCCCACCCCTGCAGTCCTCCTGCCAATAGCACTCTAGTCCTGATAATTCAGTTGTATACCACCAAATTGTTTATTTATAAGCCCTAAGACGAAGAGCTAAGCCAGGAACCAGGTCCTAATTGTACTTAGAACAGTCTTGTTTTTCCATGAAACTGTATCTATTTCCTGTCCTGAAACATGGTGGGTAGCTTTTTAACTCAAGTGACTTGAATGAAAGGGTGTCCTTGCCACTTTGCTCCAGGCAGCTCTACACACTGGGGAACTGTGAGGATCCCTCAGGATTCAAAGAACTTTTCAACACTTTGCCCCCTGGTGATCTTTGGAGCAAAGGTCCTGAGAGAAAGACTGAAGGGTCTTTCAGTATTGATCATCATTTTCTCAATATATGGTTTTATTTAAATTAGAAACATGCATGCTTCACATGTCAGTCCCAGCTCCCTCTCCCACAGATCCTCCCTTGTCCTTCCTTGAGCCCCACCTACCCCCCACCCAATCTTCACAACATTACCCAGGGAGGGTGAGGCACTCCATAGGGGGAACTCCACAGTCTGTCATTACCTCCAGGACAGAATTAGGCCCTTCACCTAATCTGTCACCAGGCTGACAAAGTATCCCTCCATGTGTAATGGGCTCCCACATTTCCTTCCTACACCACTGTAAATATTGATCTACTACCCAAGGCCCCAGAGATGGCAGAGACCTCCTCATTGACACTACATTTAGGGAGTCTTGATCAGTCCCCTGATGGCCTCTCAGCCATCAGTCTGGGGTTCAAAGAGCTCAGCCTCGACTGGCTAGCTGTCTTTGTGGGTTTCACCAGCATGGTCTTGACCCCTTTGCTCATCACTCCTCCATCTCTGTCACTTGGTTACAGGAGTTGAGTTCAGTGTTTAGCTGTGAGTATCCTCCTGTGCTTCCATCACTCACTGGATGAAGGTTATAGGATGGCATATAAGGTAGTCACCAATCTTATCATCAGGGAGGGGCTATTAAGGAAGTCTATCAACTATTGCTTAGAGGCCAATTGGTATTATCCATGGAAATCTCTCTAGTATCAGTGTTCTTTTGAAGACTGAACATGGTGGCCAAGACCTTATTATAAGCACTCTGAAGGTATGCTTAGAGATAGATATATAGATGAATGTATATATGTATGTATGGATGGATAGATGATAGACAGATACATAGATACATAGATAGATAGAGTATGTGTGTGTTGTGGGTGTTTGCATCGAAGTGCATATGAAGAAACAAAGAGGGACAGAAAGAGGAATCCCTGTTTCAAAAAAAAACAAACAAAACAAAAGGGGTTTTAGAATATTCCAGTATTCTTCAATTGGGACATCTCCACTCTTCCTAGCTGTTTTCCACATTTTGTTTTAAAATACTTGTTTGCTTTGTTGGATAGCACTGGTCATGAGAAGTGATGCAGGGCCCACACTATCATACCCACACTGGTGGATGTTCAGGGTAACAAGGGCATGACAGCCATGAGATCTGGGACAGAGGCAGGATGGTTGCAGAAGGCTATATGTGATCCATGGGAAATGTCCCACACTCTGAAGCAGATCAGTAAGAAAGCAGAAAAAGTGAAAACTGTGTGGCGAAGGAAGTGGAACAAAGGCAGTAGACCACCTCAACAAGGGTCTTAGGAGATCAACTGGAAAGAATGCCAATGACTATGGTACAGGAGGTCTTTTTCTGTTTTCTTTTGTTTTTTTGAGACAGGATTTTTCTCTGTAGCCTTGTCTGACTTTGATCTATAGACCTTGAACTCAGAGATCTGCCTGCCTCTATCTCCCAAGTGCTAGAATTAAAGGTGTGTACCACCACTGCCAAAGCAACTACAGGAGGCCTCCAAAGCAAATCTGAGCCTAGGCAGGGTCCAGATAACTAGGGCACCTACAAAAACTCTAGGTAAGGAATTGTGTCTCAGTTTCTTGTGCCTTAACAAATAAAGCTTGCCTGAAGAACAAGTGCTGAGCCATAGAGGTGAGGCAGTGGTGGCACACACCTTTAATCCTAGGGCTCAAGGTTAAGAGATAGACAGATCTCTGTAAGTCCAAGTTCACCCAGGGATACACAAGATTGATTCACTCTCAAGGAGAAACAGCCAGGTGGCAGTTGCTCACACCTTAAATCCCAGTATTTGGGAGTCACACTCCTTTAATCCCAGCACTAGGGAGGTGGAGACAGGGGGGATTTGGGTGGGTGGAGAGAGGAATATAAGGAGGAGACAAGAGCTCATGGCCTTCAGTCTGAGGATTCCTAGCGACACGATCGAACATTTTGTCTGAGGATTCAGTAGAGGTAAAAAAATTATGGTGGGTTCTCTGATATTTCAGTATTAAATGCTATATCCAACTTCGAGTTTTTATTATTAAAACCAATTAGAATTTGTGCTTCCTCAGTAAAATTCTAAAGGGACTGAATGTTTGGTACCATGTTAAAAAAAGTAATAGTTGGGTCTCATGTTGGTTTTATATACTTTGAAGGTGTTTTATAGTAAATGAGAAGTGGTTTTTTTTTGTTTTGTTTTGTATTGTTTTGTTTTTTTTGAGACGGGGTTTCTTAATGAAACAGTCTTGGCTGTCCTGGAACTCACTCTGCAGACCTGGCTTACCTTGATGTCACAGTGATCAACTTGCCTTTGCTTCCCAAGTGCTGGGATTAAAGACTTGTTCCAACACTGTCATGTTAAATAAATGCGATGTTTAAGATGTTCATTACACTCACTTTCTAGCCACTATTTTGCAGCATTACTTTGCTGATCTCTAAGTACAGGGACTGTTAGTGTAATAGTGCAGAATCCCAGACCTGAAGATATGGAGCTCATGGGCCTTCATGAAAGCCATTACTATTTTTAAGACTGGTAACAGGGCTGACTCTCCTCTCAGAGAGAAAATCACAGATTCCTCTGACCAGAAGTGAAAATAATGACTTACTAGGCAGACTTACTCATGTTTTTATGGTTTACCAATTAAGAAACAAATGTCAAAATCCAGATATTGGAATCTGAAGACTGGTAACATCAGCCATAAATGACTGAAAAGTATAGGTGCTAGGGCATCTAAAAGGATTAGGTGCCTGTGAGTAAACAGCCAAATGATTTCCTCCTTCACTGAAGATTTTCCAAAATCTAAACTAACATAAATGCTATATTATGTACGAGGAAATCTAAGCATGGAGGGGCTCTGGGAATGGAAGGTATTGTTTTGTACCCCATGCTTTTCTGTTTGCCCCTAGATAACTCTAAGGAAGATGTGATCTCAGTCACTGTGTGTGGAAGTATGAGAGATGCTTTGTATTCTCTCTGATTCCATCTTGTTAGTGTTCTTGTTTTGGTTGTTTTCAGGACCTAACCAGTGTGGATCTGAGCAGAAACAGCTCAGTGTCCCCTGGGAGACAAGTGTGTCTTTGATATTAGAAGAAGGCTGGTCGGCCGGGCGGTGGTGGCTCACACCTTTAATCCCAACACTCAGGAGGCAGAAGCAGGCAGATCTCTGGAAGTTCGAGACTGGGCTGGACCGAGAGCCTCCAAAACAATACAGAGAAACACTGTCTCGTAAAACCAAAAAAAAAAAAAAAAACCAACGAAGAAGGATGGTCTTTGCTTAGAGGTCTACAAAGAGAACATGCTCATGTTTCTGCCTTCAGTTTTCTCTGTTTGCTGCCTTATTTATGTCATGACCAGAAGTGAGATTGATGACTATATGTGGGGAAGAGACAGAGTAGGAAGACAGTGTTTAGGAGGTCATGGGTCCTTGACAGAGAGGCCTGTGTGATTCCTAGTCAGAATGAAGACTTTCCCCATACAGTGTTATGAGAGCCACAGCCAACCAGAGTGTCTTCTCATTGTCCTCAGGTCAACACCATGATGCAAGCTCAAGTCTTCATTTCAGGCCTCATATTACTACTCCCAGGTAAGTGATTCAATAAAGTGGGGAATCCTCAAGAGTCTAAAGTAGGTATAATTAATGACAATCTTTAAGACTTTTTTTAGAAAAATATTGAGTAATAATTCTCCACTTCTCCAATACCCCTTTTTATCTCACAGGTGTTGTGGATTCTGCTGTAGTAGTGAAGGCGGTGGTGGGAGACCCTGTCACACTGCCATGTAATTACTCAACAAATCTCGGAGTCAGTAACACTTGCTGGGGCCTTGGCGAATGTCAGTCTTTTTATTGTGAAAGAAGACTTATCAGAACCCATGGATATCGAGTCACCTATCAGAGGAGCAGCAGATACCAGCTACAGGGGCCTATTTCAGAAGGAAACGTGTCCTTGACAATACAGAATGCTGATCAGAGTGACAGTGGTCACTATTGTTGTACAGTTGAAATTCCTGGGTCTTTCAGTTATGTGAACTATATGCTGGAAGTTAAAGCAGGTAAGTGTTGTTTCTTTCCTTTGGTATTTCTTGCAAGTGAACTGAGTCCTCTGCTAATATTTTCTGAATTCCTCTAAGAAGGAAACTGAAGGTTGTTATAAATATGTTTGAGTATAGGTGGAGAGTTCCACTCCCTGTCTTTCCTGACTTGTGCTTTTGGAATAGGACTCACATCATGTCACACAGTTTGTTGCTTGAACAATGGAAATATTCTGATAGAATTGTGTTCCCTCCCCTTCCTGTTCACTTGTCACTCTGCATCATGATCACATGAGCAGTGGTTAGTCCATAGTCAGTCTGCAGTGTGGTCACATGAGCAGCTAGTCCATTGTCACTCTGAAGTGTGGTTACAAGAGCAGTGGTTAGTCCATAATCACTGTGCAGTGTGATTTCATGATCACCAGTAGTTGGTCCATGAATGATGCTAACATACAGTTCCCTCCAATGAACTTTTTGAGAATGAGAAGGCAGAGATCAGACCTCCAGGTGGGAGGGAGAGCTTTAGCAAGAAACAATACAATCTATGAGGCTCATCCCTTGATGGGTAAGAAGAGGATAACAGGGAAGGGGAGTCTATTCTTATAACCTGGACAGGAGATTCATTAATAGCAGGAATGGGGGAGGAGTAGAGAAAGCAATGGCAGGGCAGACAGAGAACTGTCTTCAGTGACTGGCCTGAACAATAATCTTCTCAGCATTGTTCTGATTCTACATGAGAGAGACCTTGATGGCTTGTTTCCAGACCATGATGGGAGAGATGTGGATGAGCCGTGCGCACACTGCTGGTGTGGAGAGTTTTATTGGGGGAAGGGAATGGGAAAGAGGTGAGGAGAAGGAAAGAGGGGATGGGGAAAGGGAGTGCGGGGCAGCATTGTGGGAAGAGGCAGGAGAGAGAGAAAGAGGGGGGAGAGGAAGGCACTGAGAGCCAGAGAGACATGGAAGGGAGAGAAGAAGAGGGAGACAGGGAGAGCAGCTGAGGTGCATGCACACAGATCACACAGCAAGACAGGTTACTGCCTCTGTGCTGGGCGGGCATCTGTGTGGATGCTAACATTCCTTCTATTTTTGGTTATTAAAAAAAGGTGAGGAGTTAGGTATGGCAGGATAGGGCAATGAAGGTGTCTATGTGTCCAGACTACTTCCTGCTGGTTGGGAATATTGGAATTTTGGGAGCCTGAGAACTGAGGAGCAGGCCACATCCTGGAGTAGCTGGTTGCCTCAACATTGTCCAGGTTCTATAGAACTGTCCAGTGTCTCCTAGGCCTAGTGATGTGCCAGCCCAGCAGATTTCAAGGTTAAGTTTAAGGAGTTAGTTCTGGTGAGGGAGGGAGGTGTGTGTCAAGTCAAGGGGAAAGGTTGGGAGGCCTTAGCTGCTTGGGTACTGGTAACTGAGGTATAGGTGCATCTCACCTTTTTGAGGTCAATCCAAGTTGACCACCTGGAACCTACCAGAATTCCTTAAGTATGTGAATAGGTAAGATTTAGAGATGGTTTTAGACATCCGAGTGGTCACATCATTTGTAACCTGTAATGAGATTCACACTGTAGAAATGACAGGAAGCTCATGACAGTCATAATTCTGGTTGAGAGCATTGACATTCTTTCTTGTGTCTGGAAACCTGAGAGATGTTGTTATCACAGTGAAAAAATAACCTTTAAGTGTATTGGTAGAGTGAATTTAGAATCCTGGTTTTATAACCAACATCATATAGTGATAATTTGCTGTTTAGTAATCTGCCAGAGCTGGGTCAAAGATATCTGAATGTCATCCATGATTGTTAACACTATTGACCTTCAGAATCTGAATATAACAATAGGATAATGAGAGAAAAAATCTGGGAACATGTTTCATCAGCATTTAAGCCTTTTTTAAATCCTCTAACATCAAAATTATCATTTACTCACCTTAAGTCACTTTCCCATACCATGAAACATTCTTAGATTGTCACCCGTTAAGTTTCACAGCTTAAAATACAGGTGGCTGACCACTGAGAGCAGTCACTGCAAAGCAGGGCTTTTAAACAAAGAAATGGTAACAGTTACAACAAATGTTTTGTGAGTTTTCTTTTGAGGTGGTATCAAGGTGAACTGTGTCTAGACTTGGTATTGGCTCTAGGAGAGTGAGGCCTGTGACCTGAATTTTACAGGAAACTGAGAAGTGAGCTGATGCTTTGGCTGTTGTTGTTAAGCTGGCCTGAAGTGTACTTAAGATTTATTCAAACCTTGCCTTACGATTCAGAACAGCAAGATAGGTTTCAAGCTATGAAAGCAGGCAGTGGTGATACACACATTTAATCCCAGCATCCTGAAGCTAGGAGATGGTAGTACACTCCTTAAATCTAGGACTCAGAATTAAGAGATAGAGGCATCTCTTTGATTCCAAGGCCACCTAGAGATATACGAGATTGAATCAGTCTAAAAGAGTAACAGATCACACTCCATGAGTCCCAGCACTAGTAGGGTATAAAAGAGGGAAGCAGGGTCTTCAGTAGTCAGTATGAATCATTCAGTCTCCAGCCACCCTGAGGAGAGGCAGTCGTGTGAAGCTTGGTGAAGGGAAGGCACAGGGTTCAGCCATTCAATCTGAGGTAGAGGTAAAAAGGCAATGGCCAACTGTTTTGGTTTTCTGATACTCAGCTTGAAGTTTGAACCCCAGTATCAGTGTCTGGGTCTTTTATTTATTTATTTTTTGTTACACTGGCCAAACAGCTTCAGTGTTCTGAGAAGGATAAACTTTAACTGAGTTATTGATTAAAAACGACAGACATTTACTGGCTGCCTACCCCAGGGGCCTCCCCGGTCACTTTGCTTAGGCAAATTGAGGCTGTGAATTCACCAGTGTCCTGTTTTGTTCAGGGTCTGAAGAGGGTCTTTACAGCAGTTGAGGTGAAAGGCAGGTTGGCTCCGTGGCTGGTGCTGCCACTTTTGAAGCCAGTTCCGGGTGGAGGTTCTTCTGTGCCCATCCATCTTCTTTGAGGAAATAGGAGTGCTTCCAGGACCTGGCACTTCTCTCTATTACAAAAAGCTTTTTAAGTAAACATTTTAAATGCCATATTTTGCAGATCTCTGAGCATTTGAGGACTGTCTGTCTATTAGGTATAATCTCAGTAACCATTTCATTTCTAGTTATTTGATTTAATCTTGACTCTGAAAACTTATATGGGACTAGGTCAGGCTTATACCTGTAGTTAATTACACAAGTATCTTCTAGCATGACCACAATTAAAGAGCTTGATCATTTATAAGATGACTCTGGTATTCCTCAACAGTCTACAATTGGTTAGCAGCTTCCATAATACTAGGACTTTACATTCCTGTCATGTTAAGCTCTAAAAATAATGATTTTTGAATTGAAGCCCTTTTAGTGTTAAAATAAGAAACAAAAGATGGCCATTCATAGGATAGTAACAACAAGCTTATACAATATGAGACTGTCACCTGATAAGGCAAGGGAAAGTGATAAGGGAATGATCCCAGGGCAAATTGTGAAAAGGAGAAAGTGGGGTTGTTAGTTGGGCTGTGTCCAATGAGCAAGGATTAAGAGAGCACAGAGGACAGCACTGCTCTTGACAGGTCATTTGGGTCTCTGCCCCAATACCCAACTCAGTATATCTATTTAACAAACATATGTTGCCACTTATTTAATTCTTGTTGTTGAACATTTGGTAAAGACATAAATACGTATATGTAAATCTCTAAGTTGCCTTTGTTGATCTGAATAGTTTTTTTTGGTTCTTTGAGACAGGGTTTCTCTGTCTAGTAGTGACTACCCTGGGAGTCACTCAGCTCACCAAGAAGGCCTGGAACTCAGAGATCCACCTGCAAGTGCCTCCCAAGTGGTGGGATTAAAGGCATGTGCCACCACCACCTGGCCTGAATAGATCTTTATAATTTGAAATTTTTAGGACCATATAGAGTACATTTTAATTCATTTTATTTTATTTTTTGACATATGGTTATTCTGTGGCTTTGGAAGCTGTCCTGAGAATAGCTCTTGCAGACCAGACTTCTCTCAATCGCACAGAGATCTGCCTGCTTCTTGTTCCTGAGTGCCTATGTTAAAGGCATATGCCACCACCTCCACGTTATAGAATATATTTTAAAGCAGAGCTGAATCACATATATAGTATGTTGTAAGAAATCTACATATATTTAAGTGAGATCTAGGATGATGGTCAACTGTCCAGTCATCCAAGTCATGTGGCTCTACCCATTGAACCATTATTCTGTCTCCCAGTTTATTAATTGATTTATTGATTTTGAGACTTGGCCTTCTCTTGTAAATCAGGCTGACCTGGAACACACACACACACACACACACATACACACACACACAAAAACACACACACACACACAGAGAGAGAGAGAGAGAGAGAGAGAGAGAGAGAGAGAGAGAGAGAGAGAGAGAGAGAGAGGGAGGGAGGTAACTAAAAAAAATACCTCTTAGGGGTTGTGAGTTTTCTAGAATGCCTGAAGCCTTGGCTTCTGTCCTTAGAACTGCAAACACACTAATCAAGTAAAGCCTGTGGTGTAGCTTGGGAAGGCACTTGTCTAGCACATATTCTTGCCTAAAACACTGGGGTTAGATTTCCAGAACTAGCATAAGGATAGGCATGGCATCATAGCATAAAATACCCAATTTCAATTCAGTAATTGAAGGTTTTATGAGGCTCAAAAATCCATTAACAGCTCAATGCTTACAGATGCCATAAGTGATGCAGCAACTCTGATTCCTCCTTAACAACAAGGTAGACACACACTGCATGAAGTCTTACACTGTACCCCACATAAGGAATGGTTAAAGCTATTTTCCTTATTGTTGAGCTATTATTTTGTAGTTGGCAGAAGTAAAATTGAGTGAAATAACTTACATGGGTAATGTCTGCTGACATTGAGAGTATGAGTCCTGGCACTAATTTGCCTTAAGACCTGTCTAGGAACATAGCATACTAAGACCATCGGTACCCATTTGGATGATTGGAGTCCTTAGGATGCTGCTGATTTGTGAACTGTAGATTGACCCTGCCTGAATCAAAAATCCTAACTCTTCAGAGATTAAAAATCTAGAACCTTTTAAGCATGGCCTTGGTAAAACACCAGGAAAAATTCAATGCCATTTAATTTTCATGTGCAGGATTATCAAAGATTTATAAAGTTTCCATTAACATATATACTTAAATTGCAGGCATATGAATGATACATAAACCATGTTTGTAGTTGAGGGTCTTTTATAAGACAAAATCCATATGCAAATATTTTGAATTGTTAAAAGGAGTTAAATTCTGATACCAAACATTTTTGTATATGGGGTATTAACATTCTCTGTCTTATAGAGGAAGACAATGTCCACTCTCTACCCAAATGCTCAAATCCCATTTGTGCTGGGGCTGGTGTGGGATCTGCATGCTAAGATTCAGGGCTATATGGTGTGGCTGCTTGGGACTGACTGTAGTGCAAATGCAGGGACTGAAAACTTTGGGTTAAGTCAGTAGCCAGTGAGAGCATTCACAGGTTCCCACAGGCTCCAGTGTCAGAGATGCTTAGAGATCTGAGGACCTGACAGCTGTCATTTATACGGTCCTTAAGAACGTGGACTCCGTTCTCATCTCCATGTCTTCAGTTCAGCTGCTTCTTATTGGTCAGCTGTCCCCACAGCCCTGCCCTGCCCTGTAGTAGTTGCTCAGTGACAAATTAGAGAAGTTTAGGAGAGGAGCCTCTCTGGAGACAGCTTCTCAATGATGCTAAAACAGAAGCTCTTGCCCCTTCTTATTGACTCATCCTTGTTTCATCTTGATTTCCAAATACAGAAATTCCAACAAGTCCTTCAACAAGTCCCACAACAACAGGAAGACTCACAACAACAGGAAGACCAGCAACAGGAAAACCCACAACAAGAATACTCAAAACAAGAATACTCACAGCTACAAAAAGGCCCACAATTACAATGGAACCCAGGAATGTGTCAATGAAACCCACAGATGAACCAGCATCAGGCAGAGTCTCTACCTTGAATTCTACAACACCAGTACATACACAAACTTATACACCAGGTAAATCCCAATACAGTTCAACACGCAGTGCCCTCTAATCACTAGCCAGCATGCTTCATGCTTTATGATACAGAGTTCAATTGTCAGACAATTATGTCCTATATAGCTGTTATCTGTTCCTATTTTATAGGGACAGGAACTGACAGAGTCAGAAAGTTCATGGTAGAGTTGTGAAGACAGAAAATGGCTAAGTCTCTGCCCCTATTACCTTGAGTAGGAACCTGGTTCTTCTGACTTTAGGGTCAGAACACCTGCCCTGAGCATGATGTGGAGAGGGTTTCTACTGTTCCCACATCCTCACTGGAAAGGCATCATGACACCACCCTTTAAAAAGATAGTGAATGCTTATAAAGGTTTACTTTAAGGATCTTTTAGCTTATTCAGGTAGTCTGCAAAGTGCAATATATATATATATATATATATATATATATATATATATATATACACATGTATATATATATATATATACTTTGTAGGGATAAAATACACACACACACACATACACACACACATCAAATACAGAGGCTTTAGGAAGTGATATAACATGTTCATGCTTTTGAGTGATGCCTTGTAATTGATACATCAAATTGTCTACTGGTAAAGTTTACATTAATGGGTAGTACCTTGACTTACAGATAAGAGAAGCATGTCACCACGAAGGCAAGTTTAGATTCAAACCTTTCACAACTCTGAATGAAAAGATAACTATTACAGTGTGTTTCAAAGCTTCCTAAAACTTGTATCCTGTGAGTAGGGCTTGGTTCTGATGACAGAAACCTCATAACTTTTGTTGTTATGGTTAGGGTAATCTGATGGGTGATATTTATTTTGCCTCACCATGGCTTTTTGGTAATTTCAAGCAGGAAGACCCTGAAGGACTGTGCTCCATGCCGAGTTTGCAGAGGCCTCTAGGTTATAACTAGGGTTGTCAAGAATACAATTTGGGAGAAAAAAACGCTTTGTTTCAGGTCGCCGCACATACAGAATAAATGCAAGACTCTCTCAGGATTAACAGAATTTTTCAATACTTAGTTTCAGCCTGTTTCAGGGAATTGGCTCATGGACTGAGGACCTGAATTATTTCCTCTCATTGCATGGTCACTGTGTGTACTTTACCAACTTAGATGTCTGTCATTTGCTAAAATTAGAAACATGGAGTCATGTGATGGCTGCTTCATCTGCAAACTGCACTGAACGGCTCCTTGTCAGGATGTCACAACCCTTATATCACGGAAATGGGATTCTGTGTTTCATACATAGACAACAGAACATAAAAACAATATATTCCTTGATATATAATGGGCATTTCAAATATACTTTGATTATCTAAATGTTCAAAATTTGCTGCTTAGTGAATCTCCTGCCTTATTAAATCCCACCCTAACATGGTATGACACTTCGTCTCTGTTGGTGACCATTATAGATGTAGAAAAAATCTAAATTTGTATGTTTATAATTTTTCCTCTTATTGAGCAGATTGGAAAAACACTGTGACATTCTGGAACGACTCTTGGAATAATTACACTGTAAGTATATTCCTCCCCAATCAGCCATGCGGTCTTGTATATCTTCTATGAAACAATGTGTAGATAAAGATGTCTGTAAAATTAGTTCACAGGTATTTGCTTAAAAAAGAGTCAGATATAGTAGTATCCTCCTTCCTTATTCTCAGGACTCAGGAAGTTAATACAAAATATCAGAAGTTTGAGGCCAGCCTGGAACATTAGGCAATGTGGACTATACAGTTACACCCTGTCTCAAAAAATGTAGATAGGTAAATTTGTAAATATTTAAAAATAAAGAAATAAGAATATGAGTTTGGGGCTGGAGAGATGGCTCAGAGTTTAAGAGCACTGGAGGCTCCTCCAGAGGTCATGAGATCAATCCCCCAAAACCACATGTTGATTCCCAACCATCTAAAATAAGATCTGGGACACTCTTCTGGTCTGCATATAAACATACAGGTGGAACACTATATGTACTGAATAAATTAAATCTTTTTTTTAAAAAGGGTATTTGATGTTTACAAAAGATATTTGAATTCAAGATATTCATTAACATTCCCACTCACCATTCTCTGTAGAGTACACCAGTGATATTTTGTTTCACACACAAACCAGCACAGAATGTGATTAAATCAGGCAAAATCACATACACGATGTATGAGCTCATATTAAGAATGTGGTTACATTTTTGACAGAGGTAGCTGCCCATGCAGTCACCTCAATTAACACAGAACAGGTTTCCACCATGGTCAAAGACACTGATTTCCATTGTCTTAGAGTTCCACTGCCTATCCCACTTCACATTCTTGCATCTTACTGCACATTTCACTAGCGATAGGCCAGTAAAGATGAAGCTCTAGGACCTGGAGTCTAGGTTAATGTCAAGCATGTGCACTCTATTTCGCTCCCTCGGTGACTCTTGTGTTTAATGCTGCTTATTTATTCCTACTCATGTTTTACTGTTTGCCTAGGAATCAATCCCTTCACTAAATCCACCAGAGAAAATGACTAAGGACTTTGCTCTTGTCATCCCCATTGCCGCCCTGTTGCTGCTGCTGTTTGTGGGTGCCCTGGCTGTCATGAGTAAGTAATTTCTCATAACTGTCCACCAAACAATGAGACCCAGTGATCTCTGACTGCCTTTAAGCAAGTGCACATTCCTCAGGGGCTTTGAGTTCACCTGCCTTCCCTATCTCCAGATCCAAGACATACATGTAAGCCATCTGATTCTCACGAGATATGTTAGGACCCACACGACTCTGTGGCTGGTTTCTAGGATTTGATGAGTGTTGTGCTCAGTGATCTTATACCATCGCTACTATGTCTGCAAATATTCCTAATCTGTAAAACTCAAGGAGCTTAAATACTACTGGAGTTTTCAGCTGAAACCATTTATTTATTCTTTTATTTATGTATTTGATTATTTATTCATTTTACATCCTGACACTGCCTCTAGTTTCCCTTCCCACATTTCCCCCATTCATTCTCCCTGCTGCCCATCTTACAATCTCCCTTTCAGTCCAATATATACTTCCTCTGTTTCTGTTCAGAAGGCCAGGTTTCCTATGGATATCAACTAACCACAGCATAGCATGCAGTGGATTATTACCATCTTCTGTTTTATTTTTTGTGCCTTCCATTTGCTTTGTTTTTAGTTCGGGTTTCAGATTTTTGCTGTGTGATCATGTAGTCTGGAATGGCATTGTACTTAATAAGTAGCTGAGGATGGCCTTCCTCAGGATCCTACTGTCTCCAACATCCAAGTGATGGGCTCACATGAATAGGCTGCTGTGCTTGGCAATACTGGTTTCCTAACCCTGTCCTTTGTATTTCAGCTGTTTCCATTAAAGGGGAAACATTCCATTTTCCATAAAAAAATTAAATACTATGACACAAGAGATTTTTGAATAGGCTTGACATTTTCAGGTCACTTTAGACTTCTGATGTGTTATCTCCTACGCTTGGGGTCTCACTTGTTCCCCAATATCATACTGTGGAATATTCTGGGATGTATTTAGTAGAAGATGCAAACATGATGTTTGAGGGAAACCCCCAGAAAAATGCTGGAACAGACTATTTGTGGGTGATGCCCAGTTCTACATGGTCCTTCCCATGAATTGTACAATTGTACACAGGGTTTTTTTCTGTTTGTAGTGCATTCCCTGTGTAAGAACTTCAGTCATGGACATACAAAACATAGGCATGAGCCACTTACTGACCTGTTTCATTTACTGGGCATAAAATGGGGAATAATGATATGCGTGTGTCTTGTCTCTGGTTACACAAGGCTTTAGTCCCAGCACTTGGGAGACAGAAACAGGAGGAACTCTGAGTTGGAGGTCAATCTTTCCTACATTGGAAATTCCAGGCTAGCCAAAGCTAATCATGGAAATCCTATCTTGAAACACTTAAAAAAATCAAGACTATTCCTGTGTAACTAACTTCATGATGTTTCTTACTTGCTATTTAGAACTTGTGTATCTGAAAAGATTATTTAAGCTGTCTCTAGTGTCATGTGCCTATTATCGCAACATTCCAAGTCTGTGGTTAGTTTGGGTACATGTTAGATGGTGTCTTAAAAGTAGAATTATTAAAATGTGACCATTTGTTCATTCAACATCTCTCTCTATCTCCCTCTACCTTTATCCCTCTGTCTCTCTCTGCAGGTTGGTATCAGTGGGAGAACATTGTTGAAGACATTGTCTACATCGTTGACTATAGTCCTTTCTCTGTAGCATAAATACCAGTGGCCCTCTGAGGGAAATTCCACCTTAGACTGAAAAGACACCGTCGGGACTGAACAGCACAGACAACCATTACAAGTCCAGAATTATTTTCTGTGTCTACTCATCCAGCAGTAGTGGAAAGGGTGACCTCCAGTATCATCCTATTTCTTATATTACCACTGACTCATTCTCTCCATTCACTGTAGCGCATTCCCTCAAAATGAATATTTTAGAATCCTGTGTGTCCTTTATGTAAATAAAGACATTTTTGATACAGTAAATAGACTCCTGCCTTGGTTATTCAAACCATTAAGAGAAGAATAGGATTGAAAAATTTAAAAAATGACTGAGGGTGGGTCGGATGGGTACCAAAATTTAGAAGTATTTCTGAAACTTTTCATGTTTATCTATTTTAGTGTAATTTGAAATGTCACTATCCCTTCCCTCCCCAAGGGGTACAACCATGGAAGCAAGCAGGTTGTAGTTTCCCTCATAGATAAATACAAGGGAGTCTAGTGTCACTATAAGAATTGGCCATGCTTTCTCATAGCTCTGGAAATATGACACATTATTATGTGGTTAATCTTAGAATAAGCATGGGCATTTCAATCAGGAGTGGTTTCCATGGTGAATATGGCACAGGCCTATACTGGGGAAGAAAATAGTGTGGACCAAGTGTTTGAGGTCCTTAATGCTATTTCCCCTGCACTGTGACGTGAGGCTCAGTGTTCCTGTACTCACCTGCTGGACTCTGAATTAGGTGCTAGAAGGAGACAATGCAGAAATGAAGGGGAAAGGAGGGAGCAGGACACAGGCTCTGCTTGAGAGAAGTCCTAGTCCAGGTGTGACAGAGTTTGGAAATATCACTGGTTCATTCAGAGTCTAAATGTATAATTGTCTCCAGACCATATTAATATTTAAGTTTATTTCAGAAGGACAAAGCATTTTCATAGTGGATCAGTGTGTCACACTCAATGAAATATTGGTTTTCCTAAGACTTAAGAAAGGCTGTTGTGAACACAAATTACAGAAAACCTACAAACTCATGGAAATTGAATAATGCTCAACTGCACCATCCCTGGGTCAAAGAGGAAATAAAAAAAGAAATTAAAGACTTCCTCGAATTCATTGAAAATGGAGACACAAGATACCCAAACCTATGGGACACTTTGAAAGCAGTGTTACGGGGGAAGTTCATAGCATTAAGTGCTCACATGAAGAAACAGGAGAACAGTTATACCAGAGAATTAACATCACAGCTAAAAGCTCTAGAACACAAAGAAGCAAACTCCCCCAGGAGGAGTAGACGCCACAAAATAATCAAATTGAGGGCTGAAATCAATAAAGTAGAAACCAGGAAAACAATACAAAGAATCAATGCAACGAAGAGTTGGTTCTTTGAGAAAATCAACCAGATAGACAAACCTTTGTCCAAACTTACCAAACAGCAGAGAGTGAACACGCAAATTAACAAAATCAGAAATGAAAAGGGGGACATAACAACAGACTCTGAGGAAATCCAGAGAATCATTAGGTCATACTTTGAAAACCTGTACTCCACAAAATTCGAAAATTTAAAGGAAATGGACTACTTCCTGGATAGCTATCATTTGCCAAAACTAAATCAAGAACAGATAAGCAATTTAAATAGACCTATAACCCCTATGGAAATAGAAGCTGTCATCAAAAGTCTCCCAACCAAAAAAAGTCCAGGTCCAGATGGCCTCAGTGCAGAATTCTACCACAAATTCAAAGAACAGCTTATACCAATTCTTCTCAAAGTGTTCCACACAATAGAAGCAGAAGGGTCTTTGCCAAATTCTTTCTATGAGGCTTCAATAACCTTGATCCCCAAGCCACACAAAGATACAACTAAGACAGAGAACTTCAGACCAATATCCCTCATGAACATTGATGCAAAAATACTCAATAAAATACTGGCAAATCAGATCCAAGAACACATCAAAACAATCATTCACCACGATCAAGTAGGTTTCATCCCAGGGATGCAGGGATGGTTCAACATACGAAAATCCATCAACGTAATCCACCATATAAACAAGCTGAAAAACAAAAATCACATGATCATCTCACTAGATGCTGAAAAAGCCTTTGACAAAATCCAACACCCCTTCATGATAAAGGTCTTGGAGAGATCTGGGATAACAGGGACATACTTAAACATAATAAAAGCTATATACAGTAAACCAACAGCCAACATCAAACTAAATGGACAGAAACTCAACGCAATTCCTCTAAAATCATGAACAAAACAAGGCTGTTCACTCTCTCCATACCTTTTCAACATGGTACTTGAAGTTCTAGCTATTGCCATACGACAACAAGGGGGGATCAAGGGGATACAAATTGGGAAGGAAGAGGTCAAACTTTCACTGTTTGCAGACGATATGATAGTTTACATCAATGACCCAAAGAACTCTACCAGGGAACTCTTACAGCTGATTAACACCTTCAGCAAAGTGGCAGGCTACAAGACCAACTCAAGAAAATCAGTAGCCCTACTATATACAGATGATAAAAGGGCTGAAAGAGAAATCAGAGAAACATCACCCTTTACAATTGCCACAAACAACATAAAATACCTTGGGGTAACGCTAACAAAACAAGCAAATGACCTGTATCGTAAGAACTTTGAATCTTTAAAGAAAGAAATTAAAGAAGCCCTCAGAAAAGGGAAAGATTTCCCATGCTCTTGGATAGGTAGGATCAATGTAGTAAAAATGGCAATCCTGGCAAAAGCAATCTACAGATTCAATACAATCCCCATTAAAATCCCAGCACAATTCTTCACAGACCTTGAAAGAACAATAATCAATTTTGTATGGAAAAACAAAAGACCCAGGATAGCCAAAACAACCCTGTTCAACAAGGCAACGTCCAGAGGCATCACCATCCCTGACCTCAAGCTCTATTATAGAGCTATAGTCCTGAAAACAGCTTGGTATTGGCACAAAAATAGACAGGTAGACCAATGGAATCGAATTGAAAATCCGGGTATTAACCCACACACGTACGGACATCTGATCTTTGACAAAGAAGCTAAAAATATACAATGGAATAAAGAAAGCATCTTCAACAAATGGTGCTGGCATAATTGGAGACTGGCATGTAGAAGAATGCGGATCGATCCATGTTTATCGCCATGCACAAAACTTAAGTCCAAATGGATCAAAGACCTCAACATAAATCCAGCCACACTGAACCTCTTAGAAGAGAAAGTGGGTGGTACCCTTGAACGAATTGGTACAGGAGACAGCTTCCTGAACATAACACCAGGAGCACAGATAGTGAGATCAACAATTAATAAATGGGACCTACTGAAACTGAGAAGCTTCT